CCAGGTGGCTGAACAATTGTGTCCAGGAATTCTGGCGATGTTTTGGGCCAAACCTTCATAATAATGGCTCTCATCTCTTCATTTGCCTTTTCCAAAGAACCCTTGCCTAGAAAATAGACACGGTAGTCTATTTTTGATAGACCATGACGAAGAATGTAAGATGAGTATGAATGTCATCAAATAGAATCGTGTGGTTGAGTGGTGAGGCAGTGCCATATATGAGATGACATAGTGCGTGCTTATAGTGAATATGGTGAGTCTATTTGGACGGGGGTTTGGAGGAGAGTCTGGAGGAGATTACTCTGTGCGAACGACACTCGTGAATTAGAGTCGAAAGGTTTGGTTGACATATCAGAGCATTATTATACGTTTCTGCCTTGAAGTTCGGAAAGAGAAAAGAGCAACCATTTTGTGGCTCAATTACTAATAATAAAGGAAAGGCTCAAAAAAAGTTGACTACTGTTGATAATGAATTTTTTCGATATGGCAACATTCACCATCAAAAAACAGATACTGTCTTTGATATTAAACTTTTTCAAGGCTGGCTTAGTTGGTTTGCCAGGTTCTTTTAATCGGAAATTGGTGAAATATTGTATCGATACCTATGGCAAACTTCGCTATCGAGCATTCGAGCATTCGAGCATTTTTTTCGATAATTTTTTTAAATAGCAGAATATCAAGCACATATTATCATATTGAGTGACGTTGACCACCGGAACTTGGGCGATCTACATGCTATCATTGATTTTCTGGACGAATCTGATCCTTTCTCTCAACTCAATAAGCCATCAACACTTCGAGTTCACCCGGACCATGCTTTATTACATATTAATATATGAGTAGTTGGTTTGTATACAGAATGTAGTACTACTTAACCGTTCAAACAGAGATACAAATCTGATGCGCTCACAGAAATAGCCCCAGATCGACCATTAATGAACAACGTTGATGAACGCCAAGGGCGGATCCAGGAAGGAGGACTATTGGGGTGGCTTTTTAATATATATATTTTTTAAAATATAGAAATAGAAATTATAAGTTAATTCAGTAAACGAAGGGGAAAAAACATCTGAAATGGACCCATTCTGAAAAACAGATGTAGTATCCTGAAACAGCCAGTGACCACATTGATTGAAGTAGCAATATTCTGTGCATTTACCTTTATGAATGAAGTTTACTCTTAAAAGTTAAGGAGTGAAAACAGCATGCAGGTCGAGTTATGATGTAAGTAATGGGTCATTATCAGCGTAATGTTTTGAATGTAGATACCTTCGGGTCTCTTGATGTTCAGTGAAGTTCGAACCAAACCAAATAAGGTCGCGTTGAAATTTACCGTGCCGTCCCTGTTCAATGGCATGTTCATACTAACAAGACGCTATATAAAAGAGAACAAAAAAAAAACAAAACATGTAGCACAAAAAAGTATTAAACACCATAGCCATTTCTCACACGCTCTAAATTTAGCTTAGCTAACCTTGCAGGCCTCTCTATGGGGGCAGAATTTCCCAAATCCAAGAGGAGGAGCTATTCTTTTGAGTACTGTCACGATATCCAAGTGTTTTACACAACCACTGAAATATAAGGGAAAGCACAAATAAGTTCTGCATTTTGGAGTGGAGTCTATTCGAGCAGGCATGGTACTTATAAATTTTATTTTATTTTGTATCTTATTTGGTAAAATAAAAGATTCGATTATTGAGGTATCGCTCTCGATTTAGATTGAGAATTTGAACATGAAATTGCAATGCCCTGGTTCTTCTTTTTCACTTCCTAAGAAATCCCCATAATGCATACCTCGCTTCTGGATCGTACTCCGACCACACCCTGACAAATTCATCTAGATGATGAGGACCAAGGATTGACCAATCTCGTGTAAGATAGTCAAAATTATCCATAATAACGGCTACGAACAAGTTAATAATCTGAAAGAAAATAAACATTCCATTACAACAAGCGCTACATAAAAATGCAGGGTACAAGTTCTCAGTACGGGTAGTGTGTCCCCTAACCCGCCAACTGCGCACAGATAAATCACGACATATAGCACTAAAAAAACTCAATAGCAGGTTTACTGATGAGAACCACTCTAACAGATAACTTCATTTTACTTACCAAAAAGGAACAAATAATAACGAAAGAAACAAAGTAGAAAAAGGCGAACGGAGACCCGCAGAGTCCATCGTCTTCCTTGGGGTAAGCCTTTGCGTCACATTTCACGTCAGGAGAATTGGAACAGGCTAACATAATCAACTGCCAGTTCTCACCAGTTGCAGATCTAMAGCATTTAAGACAMTGTTTGTAAAAGCTTTGTGCATAGTTTGCGTAATGAAATCATATCTTTTTCTGATATTCTCTTCATTTGAATTTAATTTTCTTGTCAATAATGAGATATTCTAATACGAACCTGAACAACACCATCAAGGACTGAGGAAAGGTCTGGAAGTTATTATTGCGATTAATTTGTGTGTCGTCATCGACTGCTATTCGTCCAAACATCTAGAAGAAAACAAGTGCCCATCATTTAATGGACTTAATAGTACAGTAGCCTGATGGATTGAAGAAATGATAAGTCTTGCACGCTTAACTAAAATGCGCCTCCCGAGTGATCATATCAGTTCAAGGAACGTTTACGCCGTGTGGACATGGAACAAGGAAAGTTGCCCATTCAAATATATCGTTGTTAATAGTCTTAACATTTGCAAAGAACCTTTAAAGAGCGTCGAAGTGTAGACAACTCACACAATTTCTATGCTCGCGATCTTTCTACGATCTACTATAATACCTGCATTCCAACCACCGCGTAGATAAAGAAGGTCATGATGATAAGAAGACCAACGTACGGCAGAGCCTAAAGAATGAACCAAAACCAAGTTATAATAAGGGCATAGCTCGGATAAAGTTTGATGTCCGCTTTGTAGAGGTTTCATATTTATAAGTACTTTGGGAGCTCTTTGATTTTGAGCTCAACTATGGCTATGTAGATAATAATTCGAGTCGTTCTTTATTGCTCTAAATTCTCTTGCGGAAAGAGAACAGTGGAAAATTAAACCGCTCTTTCACCGAACAGATATAAACGTTCAGTGGTCCATCCCTTTACATTGCAGCTTTATTGTAAATTAGAATAATAGTTTGTGCTAGTGTTCCAGGAGAGATTCCAAACCAGAGCCCCAGAGTGCCAGTAGACTAACACCCAAATACCGCTTTTACTTTAAGAAATGATATCGCTGCCTCCAATGCAATATAGTTATCAAGCGTAACACAGAATTACAACCTAATATACAGAATTCGAGGTCTTCACTGCGTCTTACTCACCTGGAAAGATTTAAGGAACGTCCATAAAAGAGTCTTTATACCTGAGCCTTGATTCAATAGCTTGACAAGACGAAGTGCACGGAACAATCGGAAAAACCCAAAGGCAAACATCTGTTCACTCTATAAAAGACATTCAAGACCAGATAATTAACACTTCTATCAAGGCATAAAGACCTTAAACCCTTTAACCATAAGATTTTTTTCAGGAAGTTTTTGCATCGCCACTGTCAAGGAGTATACTTTGCAATCAGGTCCGAGCTCATTTATAAAAGATTAACCTTAAAGATTGCTCAGTTTGGAGCATTTAATTTCGTTAATAGGAGTTACTGAAATTATTGTAATTCTCACGAGAACTACCATTTAAGTGACAGTACAACAGCTCAAACGAATATTTAGAATTTTATTAATTTATTTAATAGTTTAGGTTTAAAAGAGGCTTACAACTTTATGTATTTTTGAGTTCCTGCCATAGATGTCTTCTCTTTTTGGCCCTCCTATGGCCATTCCACCATACCTGTCCGGCTATAAAACAACACCCAATCACTTGTACCAATTAGTTAAGTTAACTTTATTTTAGAGTTTGAAAGATTATTTTAAATTTAAATTACCCATAATCAACTTTAGTATATTTGATTATATCAGTGATATTTTTAATTATATCTTGACAAAATTTCGAGTGAACTTTTATATCTCAATGTCAATTTCAAAAGTGTAATTCGGTTACCAAATTATTGAGCGTAGAAAAGGGAAAAAATGAAGGCTGACAGAGATACTTCAGGAATTTGATGAATTGTTTTTTTTAGCCAATCGAAGATGGACAGAAATAAACGCCCACGTTTCTGATTGGACGAGATGGTAAGCGTGAAAATCATCCGAATAGACAATGCAAATTGTGTTTTCATTAAATATCACTTGGTAGGGCTAAAGAAGATATTCTCACTAAACCAAACTATGGGGAAGGAAGAGATAAAGTTAAATTCTGCTTTACTCACCGATACTTCATTCATCGTGATGTCGACCACACTACCAATGACAACAACAAAGTCAAAGAGATTCCATCTGTCCAGGAAATAGTTCTAAAAGATGCGAAAGTATTGGAACAATTAATAGGTAAAAGTCAGGCTCACATAATTGAAAAAGTAACACATTGCAGTGGCGCATCCAGAACTCTACAAAGAGGGGTAACTAAGTCAAGAAAAATACATTAAATGGATAGATTTAGTGCTGAGGAAAATGGAATTCCTCTCAGATAAACACCGTTTTCGTTATTTTTCAGAATGAGTCYTATTCAGATTAAATATMTTATTCTATTTATATAATAATAWTATTGTATTTATACCATAATTTCCATCTCTTTATTTTTAAACCACCTTTAAAAGCGAGTCGCTGCCGACCCTAATCATCCCCTGGACCCGCCCTTGCAAAAAAAGATTTCAGATCTTAAACTATTTATTTCTGAGTCCAACAAAATTTTCTGTTGTATCTGATATATCTTCGATATATCTTCGATATTGTTCATATTCCTGTTCTATTACATTTAAATCCCGAAAAGAAGTTGTCTCGGGAGTTAACTGCTACTTTTTCTTTCTTACCTTAGGTTTAAAGGCAAATAGTTTTAGTATACACTCCAGTAAAAATACAGATGTGAAGCCAATATTGAATCCATCAAGCACTCTTGTATACAGTTTGGGTTCATTGAAATACTGTTGGGAAAAAATCAAGTCGTTAAGTGTTGCAGTATCCAATCGCCTGCAACACTTATCTCGCAACAGCGCTTCTGGAGAAATGCACTGTATTGACTAGTCTTAAAATTCCAGGAAACAGCCGGGAATAGCCTCGAATCTATGTGTAAGTTCATTGTTTATTCTATTGTTTTCTATCCTGTGAACGAGCCTATTCCCATATATCTGAACTGGAATTTTAAGAATAATGAAGAGGATATTTTAACAATAGTCCAGAGGTTATCTTGCAATTATTTGAAGCAGCTCTTTTTGCAATTTGTGACAAGTGACAAGTACTCTATAGCTAAATCTCGACAGCCTCTGATACACTTTGTAGTTCTCCAACGAATAGTTAGGTTTGAATACCATTTCAAAACAAAAGTTCTCAGCAGATTGCTTAGCATATCACCTTTGAGAGTATAGTAGCTGGGAAAACTATAAGCTATTTTACGCTGACTCTATCAAGAGAAGTAGCTCATTCAACAACAAAAAATATCATTCTATACCTGCATCATGAGTAGAATGGTATTGCCAGTAATAAACGCAAAGATGAGATATTCAAATGGTTGGGATGTAACTACTCTCCAGATGTGAAACTGAAGTCGATGGGTCGGAATGTAACGACGGATTGGTCGAGCCTTGAGGGCGAAATCTACGCATTGTCTCTGAAACAAGAAGCTTTAGTTAAAAAAGAAGAACAAGAAGAGCAAGAAAAACAAGAAGAACAAGAAGAACAAGAAGAACAAGAAGAACAAGAAGAACAAGAAGAACAAGAAGAACAAGAAGAACAAGAAGAACAAGAAGAACAA